GGGAGGGAGGGAGGGAGGGAGGGAGGGAGGGATGAAGGGAGAGATGGAGGAAGGGATGGAGGGAGAGATGGAGGGAGGAGTGGATGGATGGAGGAGGGTAGGAGGAAGGGAAGGAGGGATGGATAAATGGATCGACTGATCGAAGGGGTCATCGACTGGTAGACTAAATGACTATGTTAATTCTTGACTGCACAACTATATGACTGCATAAATGCTTGACTGATTGACTGATTGGCTGGTTGGTTGGTTGGTTGGTTGGTTCATTGGTTGGTTGATTGATTGATTGATTGATTGATTGATTTAATGATTGATTTAATGATGGATGGATGGATGGATTTTTTCATTGATTTAGTACGCAATGGTTAATTGGCACATTCATTAACCGTCAGTTTATCATACCCTAGGCCCAGGAGATGATTAGAGTTAGTAGTAAGCACTTAAAGGAGGAGTTTAAGACTTCAGTCAGCACTGACATGGTCAAGGTGGATGGTCGAGTCCTTCCTGCACCTAGACTCAACCTTGGTCCTCAAGAACGGCCATTGGTTCCGCGGGATGGTTCATGGGACATGCGTAACAGGTGGCTCTACGAGGGAGCTCGCATTCACACCTGGTCTGTAGCTTGTTTTGCACCTTCCCGTTGGTGTAATGACGGTGATCTGAGAAGATTTTGTCTGCAAATGGCGTCTGTGTCTAGTGGAATGGGAATGGGGATGACAAAGGAGCCAACTGTCGTGACATATGCAAAAGGCCGCAGTGATGTAAGGTCTTCTCTTACTTCCCTCCTTCCTTCTTTCCTTTATTTCTTCATTCTTCTGGTCAATCATTCATTCATCTATCGATTTATCCATACTTCCATTCATTCGTTCGTTCGTCGGTTCATTCGGTCATTCAGTCATTACTGAACTGTGATGAGGCAACTGCATTTGGCTTGAATTCTCTTCAATCCGTCCTGGACAACTCCCTAAAACAGAAACCTGCATTTGTTCCTTGCCGTTGCTCTTCATTGACTTCACTATAACTTAACTCTCTGAAACACCGATACTGACCTCCTCAAAACATACAACTTGCCAATTAATGTGAATCGTTCAATTGCCTCACTGACTGACCGATGGACCGACCGACCAAGTATGATATACTGTGTTGCCTTTAGTCTGTCCACATACGTTCATCTTTTAGTTTTGACTTAGGGTATTACTGCTCGAAATCCAAATAATCCACCGAAGAAGCGAGTTTGTTTTCATATCGATTTCGTGCGAATATCGACGGTGTAACATTGCGGTCACATTGTGCACATTTGGCGGCAAGTGACTATAAGAAGTGGCGACAACTTCATAAATCACATGCTGCACTCGTAATGGATCCTTGGCATGCTGATGACATATTAATCGCCGCCAATAAGAGAATAACATTACTTTTTGAGGAAACATTGTTTATTTGCGCCAGTGTTGTGTCATTTGCACTACAAGGGCGCAAATAAACTATATTCCCGAAAAAGCCATAGTTATTAACGGAGCTCCGGCAGCCCGAAGGGCCGCCAAGCGGAGCCCCATACTCATATAGGAAAGAAAAGGAAACCCATGAATTGATTTTCTCATGGTCATCATGGCTAGCGGTATTGCTCGCTGGCGCGTACGCACGACGGCAACGGCGACGGCGGCGGCGACGGAGTCGCGCAACATGGCGGCCATACTCCAAATAATAGCTGGATAGAGACATGCAGCCTTGGTTTACCCCATACTTCTTTAATTTTGAACATCCATGTTATGATCAATTGACATCTGTCAAAAGAAGGTATGCGCTGACCAGTGTCACGTGACTATATCGCAGGCTTAAGTTTACAGCGCATCGAGGTCACGTGTTTTTTTGAAGTTGACTGCTGACCAAGTGCTGGTTTTCGATTGGATTGCGGGCTCATGTCGGGTTAACCTGTTGAAAACAGGGCAGGATTGTTCGGAAGCCGGTTAACGCTAACCCAGGATTAAAAGCTAACCGAATTATAACTTTTTCTTCTATACCAATTTTTTTTGCTGCTTTGTCTTGTGTATATGGTGATTATTAAAATCAAAACAGAAGGCCGAACAATATACAGAAAACCTCACCGCAAAGTTGCAAAACTCAAATCAAAATTCTTCCTTTTCCTGGCTTAGCTTAAGGTCATTCCCCAGTACTGCATTGCGAATCCCTACTGCACATAACTTCACTCGTGATTAGCGCGCGCGCATTAAAAAATGGCGGGTTTTTCTTCGCGGCTGGACCTCGCCATAAAGGTAAATCGTCATTTTCTCGAAAACGAGTACGGTGACCTATCATTTTTTTCTGTTGTGTTGAATTGAGTAATAGATTTCTCTATGTAAAATAAATATGGGCCAATTATCAGTGTTAAGCNAAATCGTCATTTTCTCGAAAACGAGTACGGTGACCTATCATTTTTTTCTGTTGTGTTGAATTGAGTAATAGATTTCTCTATGTAAAATAAATATGGGCCAATTATCAGTGTTAAGCGAGAAACAATCGTCGGAAACGTGAATTTAGCAAGCAATCGTGACTATAATCATGGTGCTATTGTAAGGATTTATATGGTATAAACAAGGTACTGGCTCTAAACAACCCAGCCCAGGAGCTACGCTTTTAGGCTGGCCTAAAGCTATATATTATCATTATTGTCAACATATAGGGCCAAATGATATCAAGAATGCGATTTTAATAATACAAGTGGATAATGAACTGAAAGTCACTTCAAATCACCTTGTAACTGGTGATTCAACAAGTTATTGAAGAATCAACAAAATCCAGTGAACTTATTAAAAATTACAAAAAAAAAAATGCTTAAAATCGTCTATAAACAATACATGCATCACAAAGTTATCTGTGAGAGTACTTGGTGTTAGTGGTTGGCCTTTTTCCGATTTAACTTCAGCATAGAATTTCGAAGTAATTTATTTAGCTCATTTAGCACCGTAAATGTTTGAAAATTTAAGGTGGCTCTGAACCGTATGTACAGTTTCATTTAAAACTCCGCCAAAAGTTGCGTCTTATCCAGCTGATTAAAATTTGGTAATATCAAAATACTTCACCGTGCCGTTTTTGAATTATAAGCCCCTAGAGCTGTAATTAAGGGTGTTTTGAGCAGGTCGTACTATTGCTATGGTAACCTATTGTGTCGCGAAAATGATAACGACATGTTCACCGATGATTGGGCAGTTTTTTTATACCATAATTGTAACATCAAGTGTTAAAGAGTGGTTATAATGACCAATTAAAATCTATGTGCTGGAAAGTGTTTTGAGCCACAGGTCTTAACTCATCAGATAAACTTATGATAATTTGAAGTGTGGTTTTTCACCGTAGTGGAAGGAGATCGAGGTGGCCATTTACTTGCTTTTATCTTTATCAGGTGGAAAGTTTGTTCTGCAAGTGGGCAGTAGAGATCCCAGAGTTACAGCTCATCATGGTTGTCCTGCCAGATAGAAGCAAGAATCTCTATCCTGAGATCAAACGAGTCGGTGATATCGTCCTTGGAATTCCAACCCAATGTGTTCTGTCGAAGCATGTGCAACAAGCGAAACCTCAACTTTGCGCCAACATCTCCCTAAAAGTAAATGCAAAGCTGGGTGGAATCAATCATGTGATTGATCCGGTAGAAAAGTCATTCGTATTCAGAGAACCTGTCATCATCTTTGGGGCTGATGTAACGCACCCCTCCCCTCCTGAAAATGGAATTCCTTCTATCGCTGCTGTTGTGGCCAGCGTGGATTCAAATGCAACTAAATATTGTGCCCGAGTACGTGCGCACAGGTATGAAAAGTTAGGAGGTGCTCAGGAAATTATCCACGATCTGGCTGTTATGGTGAAAGAGCTTCTTATCGAGTTCTACAAGGCCAACAGGAGACTTAAGCCGTCCAATATCATCTTTTATCGTGATGGAGTCAGCGAGGGTCAGTTTGACCAAGTACTGGTTCATGAAGTGGGTGCTGTTCAAGAGGCCTGTATGATGCTGGAAAACGATTATCGCCCAGGAATCACTTTTGTTGTGGTTCAGAAGCGCCACCACACAAGGCTGTTCTGTGAAGACAAACGAGATGCCTCAGGCAAAGCTCAGAATGTACCTCCAGGCACCATTGTGGACAGTGGTATAACACACCCTTATGAGTTTGACTTCTATCTGTGCAGCCATTTTGGAATCCAGGTACGTTGATGCTATTTAAATGGTGGGAAAGTTCTTTGAAAGCGTTACTTAAAAAGAAACTCCAGTTCTCCTTACAGTGGATTGTGATGAACAAGCTACTCTCTTTTTTCCCATCGTAACAGGGGTATTTCAGAGAAACCATGTATTCAGCCAATTTCAGGTTACGTTTCTTTCTAAAGATCCGGATTAGGAATTATGATTCAAGATGGTTGGGATCATAATGCAGCAAACGAACCGCTAAATCTATTGTGGGTAAGGATTCATCAGTTCCTTCGATGAGGTATGATTAGGGTGACCTTGAATCCTATAGATCCTGATCTTAGAGCATCCCAAAGAAACGGCCCTTAGACTTGCTTGTATGGACTCTTGGCTTTCTTTGAACAACCGGTCATTTATCAGGCCTGCCGGTCTGTCTCTCTTCCTGTCTATGTGTTTGCTTGTCTGTTTGTTTGTTTGCTTATGTCCGTGTATGTCTGGGTCTGTCTGTTTCAGATTCAGATTTTTATTGTTTTGCACTATTTACAAGAAATATAACTTTAACAGTATTTACAGAAATTGCATTAAGGTTACAGTATACCTTCAGGGGTGTCTCGCGCGCAAGCAATGTAGCCCGTGCAGTTTAAGCTGTAGATACCTAAACCCCTATATCAAATTAAAGCTTATGGAGCTGGCTATCAAACTATACCAAAATGAATTGTCGAATTTTTCACGACCACTAAATGCGAGCGCCCGAATCACCTTTCGAAAGCTACAAG